CGAGCGCCGGGCGCCGCGGCAGTCAATACAAGACCGTCCGCGTTACGGTACAGTCCTCTTCGTCATCGGTCGTCGGTCGCCGCGTAACGGTGTGCAGCTGTTGTCGAACGTTCGTGTGCGACAAGTGCGCGGGTGCAGTGTCCGTCGCTGTACGAGGTAGACAAAAATAAACATCAATAATCGGCGTTAACAATACGATACACCTATTCAATAATCAGTSGGTTTGTGACCGGAAGTGTCTGGAACGCCACTTCCGCCGCGATAAATTTTTATTCGRGTTTTCTCAAACGCTTTGCGCACAACGCGCCTATTCCGCCAAAATATTACATTAAGACATTTTATAGCGCCGAATCGCGTCGTCTTTGGATCTGTTGGCATTTTTATTCGCACGGCCATCATGTGGCCGGACGCATCGCTGATTTTTGTCGTCACGTCGACAGTGTCGACGTCGTCGCCGTCATCCGTCGACCGCCGGCCACCTTCGTGTTAAGCTGTCGAGTCCGGCGCCGCGGCTTTTTTTCGTCTGAGGCCACACGGTCCGCTGCCATCATGCGACCGTCGCCAGACAGGCGACTTCGCATCGCCGTCGCCGCTGCCGTTGTCTGCGTCCTGGCTGTCTACGCGCCTGCAGGTGAGAATAACAGCAACTATTATCATTTATAATAATATCCAATAATGTTGTAATAATATAAATCGTATTATACTGCACTGAATATAATTCAAACTAGACTCGGGTAGGTAACTTTGTCGGGTGCACTTATGCACCTACCGCGAATTGATCGTACCGGATAAAGCTTTATATCGGTTAGCTGACAACATATTATAATAATAATATACTCGTCTGCCATTGAACACGGACAGTAAYATTGATAGCATAATAATAATTATTATTATAATGACATTGATACTATTATTATAGGCACATACGTGAAACTTGCAGGCCATGCATATCGTCTCGACACCTGTCGCACGTCTCATCCACTTAAATCTTACTTCCTACTCGTCCCTGCAGGTCGTATGCTGTTATTATGTAGGTAGATACGTCATCGGTGCAGCATCCGAAAAACCATTCTGCCCCGAATGCAAACGGCGCCCGTTTTCTTTTTTGCGGCAGTCTCACGGAAATGAGTTTCTCGAGGAGACTATATATTTCAGTCTCTTTTTTTTTCATCAAAAAATGTTTTTTGCGTTCATCTTGCGGAAACTCAAATTTAATTACTCGGATATTAAAATACATCTCTGGTGTTAACTAAACGTATCGCACGACTGCGGAACGTTCGTTAATAATGAATTATGTGTATTTCATCCATTTTGATAATACCAACGAGTTCGCTAATGACTCGTGCAATTAGCGAATTCATTTGTTTCCGATATCGGTSGGATAGACACACTGCTATAATAATAATAATAATACAAAAAAAACACCTCGTAAAAATCACCGTACAAGATAGAGACCTAAAGCCAATAATCGTTTAATACTAAACTTCTAAAAGCATATATTTTATTGTTTGTTTCCTTTTTTACGGATTTCGACTCCGATTTCTCTGGAACGTTGCAGACATGGAATTTTTCTGACCGTWTTTYTCGTATACGTGATCCTTGGCTCTCCGATAAAAAGCCACCCCCGCATCCGTAAGACCTTTGACGTGTACCTTTCATAACACYATAGCATATATCGTCGTCAGAAGCTTAAGTCCTCTACACTCCCCTACGGATGAAGTGTCCTCTCGCCTTCGAACCACCACCGCCTCCACCACCCTTGTCCGTGCTTTTCACCCTTATTTTTCATCATTGCGCTTCGCTCTCCACTTCATTTTTATACCTCTCGTTCAGTGCAATCAAATTACCCGAAGAAATAATTTAATAGTGCTAGCTTTGAATTTAATAATAATAATTCAGCGTCGACCGGATTTCTATACTTCATCAGTCGACCATATTATACTGACTCAAACTGGATATTTTTTTTAAAACATTGCTTTACATTATTTAAATGACTTATTTATGTAGTTACATTTTCTATCATATTATGATTATTATAACTAGGAATYKACTACAACGCACGTGAATTAAGTCGAAAATTACGAACTGACAACTATAATATACGTGTAACCATACGTAACGAATCTTATCAATTTTTAAAATCACGATGTCACCAATAAATTGTCTATACAAATATATACGCATGTTATTCGACATTTTGTTTGCAATCATCGTAATGATCTGCCAATGAGAAATATTTATACTTATAAAAAATTACTATTACGATTGTATAGGCAGTAACGGCATCATTATTAATGGACTAGCCCTTCAGTGAAAAMAATGTTTTTATTTCATTTTTTTATCTTCGTGGAGTAGGTAGTATATCTCAATTAGGGTGTTCTTTTTGCAAGTTTTTATCATGTTCTATTATAGCGTGTTCAAAACGCATCAATATTAAATTTCGTGATATATTCATTAGACCTACAGCAATGAACACTGACCCATCTCACTTAAGGTAAATTACATAATACCTACGTCTGGTTTAAAATAGCATGCAGACATTCGTGTTGTACTTATCGTATACATTTTAAAACATATTTCTAATAGGTAGATATATACAACAGCTGTAGGGTCTGTTTTAGGTGTTTTTATTGAACAAAAATATTAGTTAATTCGATTATATATTATCCTGTTTATTTTTTCAATGTTTGTTTTTCGCTGAAAATAATGGCACATAATCCCTTATTTCAGATTAAATATGCATATAACAATGTTGTCCATAATAATATAAGCACGTACTTTTCTATCGGATGAAAAGGACATATTAGTTGAAATTTTAATCTCGTGTTTTCGCACGAATATCGGAAAGTATTATTATTATTATGTATGTAAATATTTTTTTTTAACAGTATCTGTGATAGGTACCTACTATCGTGTTAAAACTCAGAATTTCAAACACGAACAAAATATATAACTATATCGTTAACGATATACGTTAATTTAAAATTGTTTCTTTTTATTATTATTATTATTATTATAAGCAATTCATTTTTACATAGGTCCAGTTGAATTCGTGCACGAAAGTACAACAAACGTGCATCACATGCAACATCGTGATAATAGAATTGTAATAATGATTAATGTTTTCAGAATTTTTTTCGCCAGATTATTGCATTTGGTTTCCGCAAACTTGAGGGTCGGCGGAAAATCATATTATTATTATTATTATTACTCTTTAGTTCGGTTGAAGTTTTTCACCTCRGCTAGCCGTTTCCGCCTCGCCATAATCCCCGTCGCGCGTGTTTGCGCTCATTAAAGACCGTCGCGAGTTTACACGGCGAGTTATTATGTATACACACGACCGGCGGTGGAAGCTGGTGCGGCGGGGTTTGTGTTTTCTTATTGTCAGGTGTACAAATACCGGAGATTTCGCACGGTTAGGCAAAACACTTCCTACTGTTGAGGTGTATCAGGGAGCGGGAAGGGGTTAGGATGGTTAGGTAAGTGGTCGGGCGTGTGTGTCGAGCGATGGTGGTTGGAGAAAAGTTTCATGAGTGGAGCAACAGGAAGAACAAGGAAGAGGAGGAGGAGGAGAACGAGGTTGATAGAACCGGATGGCAGGAGACGGTGTGGGGTTATCGCGATGCTTATGCTACCAATTACGTAACGGTGGATATTAATTAACGATATAGTATTTTATTATTAATTAGGTACGTAGCTGTAATAATAATATTACTTATACGTATAAAAAAGTCCCTGGCCACCTACTCTATATACAACCTCGTCGCACAAAAGTCTTTTAACCGAATTAGAAAAACGAGAATYGCGGTCGTGCGAGTGGGTGACAGTGTCCCGTCTCCACGGCTCGCTTTAATCTGATGTGTTATTTAGTAAGAGGCCTTTTGGACTTTTCCATATTCCGTTTGAATCGAGATTTCCCTTTGAACTTGAACAGATAACATCCGATATAGAGGAGACATTATGGCGATTATACATCGACATAATGGTCGTGGTACATTATATATTATGTATTATATATATTTATTATTATACAACTATTTCAACTCTAATAGAATTTTGCAACCGACTAAAACTCCAAAGGAAACTTAATATAATGTTATATAGGTACATTAAAATAAAATATTATTATGATATATAATATWATATTATATTGATTTGATTGAACATTTTTGCGAATACTCCATATTAATGGATCAGTATAAGACTGCTGCAGCAACGTCGTTCATTTTAAAATAAATCGAGTATATTATGGGTAACTATGAATGCATGGTACCCACATATTAAGTTTAATTTATAATACATGAATATACATAAAATAAAATATAAATTTTAATTAATACCATACCGTCCTATTTGAATTATTTTATTTTCAAATTAAAAACATCAGTTAAATAAAATACATCATTTTACACATTTTATACTAACATTTGAACTTAAATAATATTATATATTTTAACTGCTATGTTTTCAATAATTCACAAAACTTATACAAGGTTAATCAAATTCATCGATAAACTAAAAATATATTTTTATGTTTATTGTGTTCAGTTCATAAGTATTAATCAGAAAGCGAATGATTAAGGTCCCGAATAGTTTAAAGTGTCACACAAAAGACAACTACGCTGTCTCGAGGGACTTTCGCATTAACTTGCACGATTCAAGTTTTGGGTAAATACCATTAGTATACATCTCGTTTTAAAACAAGTTTGATGTTTTTTTCCGGTTAGTTGTCCCATAAACCGTATTGCTTAATGAACCAAAACTAGTCATTAAATTTGGTATGATACATATACAAGTCATCACAATGGGTTACATAACAATTTAGAATGGGTTGTTTTCGAAATAAACACTTTTKCTTTTTCGGACACATAAAATGCCATACAAATACCAAGTCAGGAACGAAAAAAACAAAACTTGCTTTTAAGTCTTTATTTTTAATATTCCGACATTTCGTTTTGACTTTTTTCTATATATCACTTTTAACTCGGAAAATAATAGCACCTACTTGCACACGCATTACGTACAAACTAAATATGATGTTATTATAATGCATTAAACAGAGAGAACGAATACAAAGTTATATAAAAGTTCACCATGGTGTGACAAGGCTCATAGATATTGGACTATCCGTTTATTAAAAGTCCCGCAACTTCGCAAAAACTTCAGCAATAAACGCCTTCTCCCCGAAGGAACATTATGCAGGCTTTTATTTCAAAATGAGCAATTTATTTTATCTTTTTTATTCTTTTATACTTTTCTCACTCCCGAATCAAGTATGATTTTTCCTACCTCATACCCAGAAAAAATTAAATGTTGAATACTATATTTGGGTAAAATTCAGTAATTTTTAAGTAATCATTTTATATACACAAGCAATCTGAATAACAAAATACAAAATTATATTAGATTAAAGTTACAAATGTATTGTATTGTTTTTTATTATATTTAACTATTCTAGTATTATGHGGTTTTACTAATAAAAATATTAAACTTATAAATATTATTTTCTGGAATAAATTCGTTTTATCAAACAGTTGGAGTGATAGTTCAACTTAACTTTTATAAAAATAGTTTGAATTTTGTGGAATTAAATAAACAATAGGTTACAGTAGGTATACATTTACTTTGTTT